AAAAAACATTTCATTAAGGGCAAAATTGACTTTTACACAAAAAACCCAAATGGGTCATTTGACCCGGCTATTTTGAAAAATCCCCCCAAAAAAACTCTAGTCTGATTTTCCATTCAGGATTCCAAGAAAGGGTTCCAACCTTTAAGCATGTGGAAGATTGTTTGGATTGGTGCCTAACAGTGTTAGGACATACTGATATTGTTGACATTTTATTTTATCATTAAATATTAGTTGTTATTTATCTATTGTAGTTATAAAAATTTATTTCTTTCATAGTTATGAGCCTGTGATTAAGTGTTTTTGGCTGCTTTGTGATATATGAAATAAGTATTTGCATAGAGAACCATAGAAAGATATAACTCAAATTTTGATCGAGAATTAGTTTGGTTGAGGTCGTCACTTTGTTTAAATGAGAACGTAGTAATTGAGATATGTGTTTATGTTGGCCATGCAAAAGTTCCATCGCAACTCTGGACAATAGTCTTGGAGTCTATTGGACAAAACCACTGGGTAATTTATTTCTATAGCATGACGTTGCACAAAAATTAATAGTAGGCCCTGTTTGCCCCAGCTTTTCAGCCAAAATTTGACCGTTTCTTTCCTGTACCTGGGCCCCGCCTGTGAGAGGAATGGTCCATAATGGCTGCTCAACGGTCAAATAATGAATTAAAAGTCAGCTCAAAAGCAGGGGCAGACATGGCTATACATTTTATCTTATGGATTACCTAAATCGGGTATGGAGTTGGTGTTATTGTTGAACTCGACATTATTTGATGTGTCAATTAGTAAGATCCGAATATATGATCAAAACATAACGGTAAGTAGGGAGCTGAGAGGAATCAATGTACAAAGTATGTATTTGCATTCAAAATTCATCACCTTATTCAATATCGCAAATCGATTGAAGTTTTTCTTTAAATTTGAGCTCAGTATTTGTGAATGCCCAAATCATTATTTATGATTATATAACGAAGAAACTATTAAAGAAAATCGAGCTCAAGTAAGAAAATAGTTAGAAATGTGAAATGATCATCTCAGCTCAGATCTAATTATTCAACGTCTAATATGGATAAGACATAAAGTTGACAAGTCAAGAGAATGTAATTGCTAAGAATTGAAATATTATAGCTTCTAATATTCGATATATTTGAAACTTTACTATCTCGCCCTTGATAGAATACACAAAAACTAATAATTGTTCTGTATGGTCTCGGATCGGCTTGACTCTAGCTCAATTATTGCAACTTAAAGTATATAGGGCCAATCATATCCCTTTGGTAGCTTCTTAAAAGTATTGGACTAAATTTACAATGGTAATGAAAGTTCTGGGACTGCATATACATAAAAACCAAAATATGTTGACAGGATAAGAGTAGGTCTAGGGTATGGCTCGGACACGCACAGAATTTCCCGGTCGAATTCTGTAACAGAGAGGTAGAGAAAATTATTTATTTGTTCACCTTATATGATTCTAGTCCAAAATTAATCTAGCTTTTCGAGCTAGGTTTGGTTTTTCTTGATGTTACTTACTTGTGTATTCATAACTAGGAAGAATATTTAAAGGTAGGAGATCGCGAAGGAGATTGAAGCTTGTAGTTGTCGGTGTCAAGAATTAATCGTAATTTGAGTGTAATTTCCGTTATCCCTTTATGTTATTGATTCAAACCGAGTAATTAATTTAAGGGTCCGTTTGATTGTAAGGGTGGAAAATGGGTGGAAAGAAAATGTTTTATAGGGAATTGATTTTCCTAGAAAATGTTTTACTGGGAATTGTAATTAATTGTGTTTGATTGGTATAATTTTCCATGGAAAATGTTGAAAGTTTGGTATCCATTTGGCTTCTTTTTTTATGGAATTTGTCCATTAAAGTGATAATTTTTTCT